CCCCCCCCCCCCTCCCTGCCCCCATTTTAAACATCTTTAAATTGCAATGCTGCTACTTTGTTCTTTCCTACAAAATTTCCATGGACTTACAGAGGAACATAAAAAAGAAAGAACAACCTGTTTCCTATTGCTTTGATTATCGTAGCATGCATATAATGCCTACTGTATATACAGGTTCACCATGCTATTCACGTTGGGGGATAAGCTACATTATACACAGTGAAGGAAAGGCGCAATTGCCAGGTTTTATCATCTTTTAGATATGAATTTCAGGCCATAACAAGGAGCTATAGTTAACATATTTTAATTAATTAATTAATATTTATCTATTTTAATCAATATTTATTTTATTTTTACTGTAAACCACCCACAGTCACCCCACAGTGAGATGAGCGGTGACAAATTTGAAATATAAATAAATATAAATAAATATATGCCGAAGCTTTAAATCAAGTCTGGTTAATGGACGGAAGCATTTGTGAATAGTACTCCAATAAAAAGACAATATTAAGCCCAAACAGGAGGAAATATCATCTCTACTGTTGAAAGCACATAACCACAGAAAACCATAATAACTGATAAACAGTAAGTAAAAGTGATAAAAGATGAAAAGAATTATATCAAGACCAAGAGCAATTCTACACAATTTCTGTTTCTCACTTTTGCATAATGTGCATAGAGAATGGGGGAAAAAATAACCGTAAAAAAAAAGCTTCTTTTCCCCTGTTTTGTCCAAATGAGTGAACGCAAGACTTTCTCTTCCTCTTCTTGTATGTCCTGCTGCATCCTGAGGATTTTGGTTGGCCATGAAGGATGTGCTTGTTTGTTTTGTCACCCATATTTTAATGTACTGGCAACTCCCCATCGTTTATGGCTCAAATGGAATTTTGCCAAGACACCAGCATTAATAGGGACTGGATGTTTGCGAATGTTAGAAGATCAGGTCCAGCTTCTGTACTGACCTGAACTGGAAATACTTGCTAATATCACCCTAACAATCAGGAATATCTACAGGGTATGGTCAAAAAAGTCAAGATGGCAGCTGTGACAGTGCAATCAAAGCTCCATCTGTTTCAAGCTTTAATTGCATCATCAAGGCCATCATCTTGACTTTTCTTTTGGACACCCCCATCAACAATGATGTGAATCACCTTTCCATTTGGGACATTTTACTGTACAAATTACTGTAAGGTTTATTTTCTACATATTCTGGATAATATGTTTTAATAGTAGATATTCTTAAGTTTTTCAACCATGCCTACAGGATGTCAAGCGTTTAAATCATTTAAAGAGTTTTCACCCATTAATCAGCTGTTACCAATAGAAGCGAATATGTGTAGCTCAGGGTTGGACT